CTTGTGACCATGAGCGCTTCTGCACCCAGTTGGGTCTTGTGCCTGTCTTGCCTCACTTGCTCTCCTCTTGACTTTACTTGTACTGTGACATATATATACCTGCTCTTGCTTGTCTTGTTTTATATATATGTCTGTACTCCTGCATGTGAACTGGCCTTTGGCCTTGCTCTTGTGCTCGGACTGTGTGGTGACTTTGTGATCCACCCTGAGCTTGCTTTGCTTTGCTTTGCTTGACTGGTCTTGTGACCCCTTGTTCTCCCCCACTTTGCCTTTGGGGGTGTGTCAGATTACTATAGCTGATGCATGTTTGTAGGCTATAGTGGGGTAGCTCATATGGGGTACAGCTTTCTAGGGTTGTATTTGTACCCAACCTTGACTTAGTCATTTCATTCCTGTTGAGCTGTTTTCACACCGCCCTACCTTCGCGGCCCCGCCCTACGTCGCGGCCCCGCCCCGACCGTCGCGGCCCCGCCCCTCGTCGCGGCCCCGCCCCTTGTCGCGGCCCCGCCCTCCAACCAGGCCCGTGGTGGGCCCCTTTCACCACACCGCCTCCTCCCCCCCCCCCCCCCCTCCCTGCCATTTCCCGTCGCCCGTCGCGGCTCCTTCGGGGGCGTGTGGGGTGGCAGGTATGGGGGTGGCCGGTGTGCCTTCCTCCCTTTGCTCCTCCTCCTCCTTCGTCTCCCACTGCTGCAGTTGTCGCTGAGGGGGGTGGTTGTGTGGGAGACACGGGTTTAGGGTTTAAGGGGGGTGCGTGGGAGTGGAGCTAGCGGTGTAGCAGTGGGTGTGTATCAGGGGGGTGGGACTGTGTGCGGGAGTATGAGTGGAGGTTGCCAGTTTGTCGTCAGCAGCACCTCTAGTCCGGGGCGCTGTCCCGGTAGCCCAGTGAGCTAGACTTCTACGCCAGCCGCCCGTGGGTCCGTTGCCCGTCTGCCGCTACTTGAGCCGCGGGGCCTGTTACTCCTGTAGTCCGGGCGCTGTCCGGTAGCCGCTGTGCCAGTCTGCCTCCTGTTGCCCGTGTGTCTGCAGCTTCAGCCGTCGCCTCCTATCTCCTCTCCCCTCACTCTCTCTCCTCCTCCTCACTTGCCCGTTGTGACTACCACTAGCTTTGCTCATAATTGTGAACTCTAAACTATTTCTTCTTGAACTTGTGCTCAGAATGTGTGGTGACATTGTGATCCACCCTGAGCTTGTATTGCTTTGCCTGCTCTGCTGATTACACCCCACTTTGGCTATGGGGGTGTGTCAGAATATTATCTTATTGTTCTAGCCTGTAGTGGGGTGCTCTATAGCGAGTACAACCCTTCTAGGGTTTGCTATTTGTATCCTCATTCTTCCTAGTTCAATCCCTCTTTCTTCCTTCAAACTTTGTCACCACCACCTCCGGCCATTTGTACTCGTAGTTCAACATGTTGAGAGTCATTAGCTCGGACAAATGGACGTCTCCAAGCGACGTGCGCATCTAGCTCTTGATGACGTTTTGCCGGCTGAATCCACGCTCGCACTCCACGGTGCTTAGCGGGATCACCGCGAGCGCCTGCCACATGGACACCAAGTTGGGGTAGCTGCGAGGCCAGTCCTTGGTCTTCATCATCTTGGCGAGCCCTTGGTAGAAGTCGTCATCCTCGTAGTGGCGCGACATGACGTGGCAGAAGCTACTCAGTTCAAGCTCCGCCGCGCGGTGGTTGAAGCCTGCCACGTAAACAATCATAACAATCATTTTCTTCTATAGCATTTACCACCAAGACAACCAAGCAACATCGCATCCAACTACGAGTGACTGCAACGTCAGCAAAACCCACCTAGGAGCCTGTTCATCAAGACACGCGCGTTGGCATCCAGCCACTGCACCACCCGACGTTCCCGTTTATCTGTCGCATCTGGCCACGACTCCACCTTGTACAGCTTGCTGCCCTCCAACTCCTTCAGGCTGTGCATGCGGGTGTGCAGATTTGTCGCCACCTCAAGCGCAAACGCCTTGCACAGCTTGATGCAGTCGGCCATTGATCCGCCATACTTGTGCCCTTTCAGCGGCTCCTCGCTCAGCTCGAACTCATGCGATGTTGGCTCGCCCTCCGCATCAACGTCGTCCACTTTGATCTTCCGTTTGCCGTTTGCCATCCGTGCGATAAATGGCGACAGCAGCTTGCTGACTCCCCCTCCGAAAGTTTTCTCGTACTCCACGTAGCGCAGCCTGATGCAGCAAATCGTGCGGTCCACCTCCTGGTGCACGATCGTGATGTCAACCTGAGATGGAGGCGGGATCAACAATAGCAAGACTTCGTTAAGAAATTACTCGATTGGTGCTGTTTTAAAATACAATAAAGCAATCTAGAACGCATCACTTACTTTCCGTCTTTGGAAAAACCGGTTCAGGGCGTTGATCTCCGCAAGAAGATCCGCCAAAAAGTAGACGCAGAAGTGAAACTTCAGCGACTTCAGCGTGGCGGCCATCTTGTGCTTGTACTCAATGAAAACCACAATCTCTGCCCCAAGGACCCTGCAGAACCGCTGCACAGCATCTCCACGCGACAGCCATCTCACGTCGAAGAGCCCCTAGTGCTCCAGGCTGGTCTTGTTGATTTCTTGCTGCAGCTCCTTGAAACGTTCGTGCCAGACGGAGGACTTCGTGACGATATCTCCCAGCCCACGGATTGCAGCGTCGACGTTATCAAGGTCGTTGTACTTGAGCGCCGACTCCTTCACCGCTAGAACTTCTCTGCACAGGTAAACACATATTGGTTAGAACACTACTTGTATGCGGGTATAAACCCAAGTCAACGAATTTGAACACCATACCTGTGAGCGATGCAATGCGTGCCGACGAGATGAGGAATGCGCTGACGGAGATGCACCACAAGCCCCCGCTCGGTGCCTACCATCACACCCACGCCGTCGGTGCTGATGGCAACGATCCTCTGCAGATCCAGACCGATAGTCTCTAGGTGGCTTAGTAAGACGGTGAAAATTGATGCCGCGTCACACTTCTGGACGGTTAGGAGCGCCAGAAACTCGGTTGCAACCTGTCGGTCCTTCAAGAAGGTCACAAACACCGCGAGATGCTTCCCGCGAGCTCTGTCGGTGCTTTCATCACAACTGAGGCCGATCCAAGGCCACGCGTGGATGTACATCATCTGTTGCTGCTGCTGGTAGGTGCACATAGCCTTCACCATCTCCTTGAAACCGTACCTGCAAGATGCGCAACCAAAAATTAGCCTCCGTAGCGTGCACAGAAAAATATCACCCAAGAATAAAAAAAGGTACTCACTCCGTGATGTAAACTCGGTAGCCCTGTCGAGGGATGTCAGGCACACCCTCCCTGGCCAGAAACTCCACAATCCGCGGGAACATAGAGATGGGTGCGTCTTCGTCGCACACAAATTGAATGCTCCGCATGAGCCTGATCACCCGCGCGCCCTCCACGTCCGCTCTCTCATAGTCGTCAATTTTCTTCTGCGCCGCCAACTTGTCGAGGAGCCCCTTTTGACGGTTGATGCACTCCTCATGGCGAGTGCTTGCTTGGTGCGCGCGCATCGACGCTGGCTGCAAGTCGCGGCCACCGCTTCCATTCCTTCCGTATCGTGCGTTGTCTGGGCCGTGTTCACTGCACACACTGCAACGCAAGCAAGGCATGCCGTCATCAGCCTTGTCGAGCAACAGCCAGTCAAACATCGGGAGCCATTTTGTAATGTAGTTTCTGTTGGCTTCCTGGAACTTTGCTTCAGCGCGTTCAGCAGCAGTCAGCTTGAGAGGTGATGGCGCTGGAGTGACCGCGGGAGGTGGCGGAGGAGGAGGTTTCACAAGCGGCGTGCCGGCGCCGAACCCAATCGTTGTCTGCGTGTAGCGGCGACGTTTCAGCGCTGCCGAATTAGAAGACTCCGGGGCTTCGGTGACGATGTCCGTCGTCTCAACGTCACTGTGAACGTCGAGGTCCGCCTCATTGCTTGTGGGACGTTGCGTCTCAGCGTCGTCTGAAGCTAGCTCCTGCTCAGGCGGGGGTGACCGTGACACAGCTTTGCGCTCAGGAAATTGCCAGCCCTCACTGTCATCCGAGGGCTCAGGCAAAGGGCGAGGTGCAGATTCGGTTACATGGCCTCGCAAAAACTCGAGACCAGCCCTTGGCCTATAGCTACAAGAGGGGTCGCCATCATCGGCATTGGCAGCGTCTCCAGGCGCAGCCATGGCTACCAGGTGGTGGTCGCTCAGCTGCTACATTGAGTGGTTAAAACAGGAGCGACTTTGGGGTGGTGGTGGAATGACGGTGTCACACGATACTGCTAGCTGTGCTTGCCGAACCCACACGGCAAAGCTTCGGGACAGAAACTCACAGAGCGCCACAGTCGGGGACCGTGGTTTGCATCTCCAAGCACCGACAATCTGAATGTGGTCCCACTCCCAGGACTTAGGGTACATTCCGCTGTGGACACATGTCCCAATCGATGTGTCCCAATCGAGTGTACCGCTCCGAACCGAACTAAACCAGAGACGCGAAAATTTCGAAACTATGGTGCAATTTGGTGTAATACGATGCAGTGCGGTAGAAACGATTGGGACACATCGATTGGGACATGTGTCCACAGCGGAATGTACCCTTAGTTCAGGCAGCAATACTGTAGTTGCTGCCAATGTGGGGTTGCGTGTCGTGCTGGCAAGGGAATTATTCCTGACTGACCAATGGGACACATGACAGCGGCCAACGCAAGTACGGGGGGGGGGGGGGGGGGGGGGGGGGGGGGGAGGGGAAGGGGTGCTCTGTACGCACTTCAGTGTAATCTACGATAAGTAAAAAATTACCCCAAGGCATCAGTGTGGCCTAGAACGATACACTTACAGATCAGTGTAACACTAACTCATAAAAAAATTATCCCAGCACATCAGTGTAGACCCAAAATTTCACCCTTGTAATCAGTGTAGAAGGGTAAATTACACTGCAAACCTGAGCCCTGCTACCCACTGTCCCTCCCTGCCTCACTTAAAGTTCCATCCAACTAGCATCGGTCCCATCAATTTGCAGACAGCGGGGTGTACTTGAAGTTCTTGAACGTCACGGTAAAAGGCTGCAGAATCAGGAACACACTCATAAATACATTATGACAAATGCAATAAGTGCCATCCCAGGAACAAAATTAAGGGGTACGCTTACCGCGTAGTCATAGTTGACGGGGATGCGGGCGGTGCGGGGCCCAGTGGCCCAGGGGGAGGCGTCCCAGATGCTGAAGTAGACCTTCATGGGGTCCTTAGGGTAGTGCGGGCTGCTGTTGCTCACCGTGCGGATGTTCACTCCGTCCACCAGCCAACTGCCACCACCATGTGCAGACAGGTTGATTATTTGACAATCAAATGTTCAGGTGAAGCTCAGGGAGGCTATTTTAATCATAATTGGCAGGTGAAGCATGAAAAATAAAAAGAATGCAGTCAGCAAGTTCTCTGAGCACTGCAGCGGAAAGAGGCACTCACACGGTCCGCTGCGGGCCCCACTGAATGGTGTACGTGTGGAAGGCAGCAGCAGGGTCGAAGGCAAAGGCAGTGAGCACCTCCTGGTCGCCCTGGCCGTTCATGAACACATTGGTCTGCAGCGTCATGCCTCGTGAGTTGTTGGGCGACCCCAGGAACTCAAAGTCCCACTCGTTGCGATGATCATAGTCGCCTGATTGCAGCTGCATGCAGATGGATGGACGGAAATGACGACATGCATGAAGAGTTAGGGACTCGCTTGTAGAGCAGACACTTCAAAGATTCATTTCACTGCAATTTGGGACATCTCGGTTCCAAACAAGCGTTGGCCCAGCAAGTTTGCTGACTCAGCGGGAAAAACCCGAAGTGTTGCGATGCGAGAGGCTGGGCACATCGGAAAAGGCCCCTCCCAACCCGTGTTTAACATGCAACCATGTCGAAACTCTGGGCCTTGCATGGCTTCATCAGGCACATGCCACTGCGCAAGCAAAGATCGCGTTGAGCTGAGCTCGACTTAAGCAGAGTGCAGCGGGAGCGTCGTACAAAGAAGGTGGCGCACACTCCAGCAGAGTACCCTCGCGGCATCTTCGCGTCCACGCTGAAAGTCCCGAAGCTAAAGGCCCGTCGCGACTCAAATCCCGCCCCTGCACAGCATCAGAATGAGGCGCGCTGTTAGAGCTGCTCGCTTCAAAGCTCGCGAATTCAGGCACATGCACACGGAATTTTCTCTGCCTAATTAAACTCATGTTTTCAAAAACACTTACCTCCAACGCGGTCTAGCGTGAGGGAGATGGCACCGCCATCGGTAACGTCCAGATTCTGCATAGAGCTGAAGGAGAAAAGACCGCCGAACAGGTTCGACGTGCTGGCTGCAGTTGATGACTCCGGGAGCACGCGCCTCGATGCCGCGATGAATGGCCAGGATAGGCCGAGCAGAGCGAGCCCCAGAACAAGCAAGGTACGTCCGAGAGGAGTCGCGCAGATAGCCATGAGTTAACCACGGTGTTGGAACTCGAAGCACGATGAGGGAGACGCTGGTGAAGCGCGATTGAATAGCTGAAGTGGTGCTGTGGTGTTTGAGGGAAGGAGCCATTGCGGCTTTTATAGCCCGGCGGCGAGGCCCAGCCGATGCTTTCGAGAATCATCGGAGCCTCTAAAAGTATGGCGATGAGGACGAGCTGTTTCCTCAATAGTTCATCCCAAGGTAAGTGGTCTGCAAAAAGAACCAGTTATATTGGAATAAATTGTATACAGGAATCACGATGCCGTGGGTGTTTGGTCTAGTGGCATGATTCTCGCTTAGGGTGCGAGAGGTCCCGAGTTCAATTCTCGGAACACCCCCAATGTAATTGTTTGCTTTGTTCATGGATCGCCCACCAATTGGATTTGTCCCCGCGCTAAAAAGCACGTTGCATCGCATCACGACATGATGGCATCACGTGGGTGGGTGCCCCCCGTTGCACACCTGTTTTGCCCTCCTCCACCCCTCCACCAAAACGGGAAGCGCTCCTATTTTAGTATTGTGGGTGGGACAGCTAGTTAGTACGTCCTGCCGCAGCAGCCACAGGACGAAAATATAGATGCTTTTTCAAGCTATGAGCAATTCGCACAGTCAGCAATCAGCCCTCGTACCGACATTGCCTCTCGCAGACAGGTTATAGTAATCAGGAGTCCTCTATCTAGTTACCATGTCGATGTTCCCGCAACTACCGCTGATCTTCTGCTGTCCCTGCTGCTGCATCCTCTGGACCTACCGTCGCTGCACGCGCTCTAGCGAAGCAACCAGCGCCCAATGGCCGCTCGCCACGTGTGCCGAGTTCCAAGACGTGCCTCGCCTCTGCCACCTCCTCAGCGCCGTCTACAAAATGCGGCGCGCGGAGCCGTACTTTAGAGGGCTCATAAACGAGGACTTCGTGGTGCGGCGCGCGAACTACGAGGATACTAAGGGGCGGTGCCCGCCGTACATGATCTACGTGGACCACGAGGCGCGCGACATCTGCCTGGCAGTGCGCGGATTAAAGAGCTCGCAGATCAAGGATTATGAGATCCTGCTGGACCAGAAGAAGGGCTCGGAGGTGAGCGGTGCAGTGCGGTGCAGTACGAGAACGGAAGGGGGGAGAGGCGTGGGTGCATGGCTTGTTGCTGGTGGGACTATGGAGCGTTCTTCAACGGTCCCACCTCCCTCCTCCTTCACCTGCCCCTCGCCTTGTCTCTCCTCCTCCCCTCCCCCCCCTTCCCCTCTCCTCCCCTCATCCCTTCCATCCGCACTGCAATGCTCCTTCAACCCGTCGTCTCCACCTTGCCTCAACTCCCTTGCAACCCGTGCTCTCAATCGTGCACTCCACTATCTGACACGCAATTGTTTCATTCCCACTCCCCCGCCGCGCCACACCAATTCAACTCAAACGTCCCGTCCCTCCCCTCCCCATCCCCCTCCCCTTCCCCTCCCCTTTCCCTTCCCCTTCCCCTTCCCCTTCCCTTCCCCTTCCCCTCCCCTTTCCCTTCCCCTTCCCCTTCCCCTTCCCCTTCCCCTTCCCTTCCCCTTCCCATCCCCTTCCCCCTCCCCCTCCCCATCTCCCTCCTCGCCTGGCAGCGCCTGGACGGGGGGTTCGTGCACACGGGCATGCTGAAAGCAGCGGCGTGGGTGTTGGACCAGGAAATGCCCGTTCTCACCATGCTCGCGCGCTGCCACCCCGCCTACACGCTAACGCTCACGGGCCACTCGCTGGGCAGCGGCGTAGTGGCCATGGCGACGGTGATTCTGCACGCGAGCAGGGAGCGCGTGGGGTTCAGCCTGCGCCGCCTGCGGTGCTTCTGCATGGCGCCTGCTCGCTCCATGTCGCTCAACCTCGCCATTAAATACGCTGACGTCATCAACTCCGTCGTGCTGCAGGTGCGGGCGAGGCACGCGCATGGCAACAATCCTGCAGCCGTTTCCACGTTGCAGTGATAGCCCTTTGCAACCCCCCCCATGCCCTGCATGCTCTGCTGTCTTCATCTCCCCGTGCCACCTCCTGCTCACCCTAAGACGCCCCCTTTTCCCCAAAATCTTCCCCCTCCTGCACCCTCCCACCCATCCCGCATGCCACGTCACAGGATGACTTTCTGGCGCGCACATCAGCACCTGTTCGATCTGCACTTGCTGCTGGCTTCTGGTAACTCGCCCACTGCTGGCTTCTGGTAACTCGCCCACTGCTGGCTTCTGGTAACTCGCCCACTGCTGGCTTCTGGTAACTCGCCCACTGCTGGCTTCAGCTTGCATGCTGCTGTTCTCTCTCCATGTGCCGTTTTTTTTCGCTTGCTGCTGCCATCCCACATTCTCTACTGTTACCTGTTTTTTGTGCACACTCCCTCAGTCCCTCACTCACTCCTTCGTTTCCTCACAATGCCACCTCCCATCCCATCCCATGCACGTGACCCCCACACCCACGTGCCTCACCCGACAATGCACCGCAGTCTGCCATGCATGCTACTATACAAGTACCAGCAGGACGCACTCATCTCCACCGCCGACAAGCTCAAGGACCCGCGCCGCCTCTACGCCCCTGGACGGCTCTTCCATGTGCTCTACCGCCCACAAGTCGGGTACGCTGCTGTGCCCTGCACTGTGCCTGTGTGGCGATCACAGCACTGTGCCTGTGTGGCGATCACAGCACTGTGCCTGTGTGGCGATCACAGCACTATACCTGTGTGGCGATCACAGCACTGTGCCTGTGTGGCGATCACAGCACTGTGCCTGTGTGGCGATCACAGCACTGTGCCTGTGTGGCGATCACAGCACAATGTGTGTGAACTCCGCGGTACAGAAAGGCACACGCTGAGCCACCACTATCCCCGTACTCTTTGGCATGTGCATGAGGGTGTCACCATGCACTAGAGCCCTCATTCTGTCTCACGCCGCCCCACTGCCCACCGCCCATGTGATTGCACAACTGCGGCCCACCTGCCTGTGGCAGCATGAAGCAATACCCACACCCGGTGGTGAAGACAGCAGTGCCGGTGGATCACCGGTTTGAGCGCGTGGTGCTGTCGCCCTCCATCATCTACGATCACATCATCGGCCACATCGAGGCCAAATGCGCCCTCGCCCTCGCTGTCAGTCCCCACCCCATCCTTCCTCACATCGCCCCCTGCTTTGCCCTCATCTGAGCTCTTTGTTGATTCCAGTTTCACTGCCACCTGTCCCCATTCATAATTGTTTGCTCCCTGTTCTCGCTGTACTCACCCCCTAGCAGTGAGTCCCCTTATCCTCCCATCGCCCACTGCTGTGCCCTCAGCTGAGCTCCTTGTTGTCTCTTGTTTTGCTGCCACCTGTCTCCATTCCATTCTCGATTGTGTTTTCTGATCTCGCCTTGCCAACCCCCTTCCCTGTACTGTGGCGCACTCAGGCAATGGAAGCGGAGCAGCAGGAGCAGCAGACCCCTCCCGAGCAGCAGCGCATGCAGCGCAGCTCCACGCTTATGGAGCGGCGGGGGGAGCACCTAGAGGCGCTTGCGCGGGCCGTGTCTCTGCACGTGGCCCACGCTGCTGACCCCAGCAGCATGCCGCACTTGCACTCTGATGAACCAGAGGAGACGCAGGATGATATGGGCGGGAGGGACGGGGAGGAGGGAGCGAACGATGCAGATGGAGTGGACAAGGGAGGAGGGGGGGCGGTGGATGGGGAGAGGGGGGAAGAGTTGGGGGGGAGTGGAGCAGAGGCGGCCATGGAGAGAGTGAAGGCGGAGGTAGAGAGGGTGAGGGCGGAGGTGGAGAAGGCAGCAGGGGTGGTGGCTGGCAAGTGGAGTGAGATCGTGGATGGCTTGGTGGCCAAGGCGGCTGAAGAGGTGACCAAGGTGGCTCCAGGGCTGGCAGAGGATAATGCCCAAGAATGGCAATAATGTGACACATTTACTCCCCAATTTTTAGGTAATCTTGTATTGGGTTCTATTTATTGAGGTGTACATTCACCACGGCTGTGCTAGCAGCAGTATGGTGACTATGGTCCTCTCATGAACAAGTAGGGAGAGCCCTAGGGATTGTCGAGTTCCATGATGGACCGTTGCGGCGCGGCGTACATGTTGTACACCACCACCTGCCGCCGCACCATCGCCGCCGCGCGCACGCCCTCCTCGTACGCCGCCTCCGCCTTCTCCGGCTCCGCGATGTCCTTGTTCTCCGCGAAGCCTTCGCGAATCCTGCGGGACGCGTAGTGGCGAACGTTGTAGTTGCGGAACCGGTGCGCCTCGCGCAGGAGAGTCCGGAAGAGCGACCGCACCTGGGAGAGCACGGGGAGGCGGCGAGCGCACACGGCGCAGCGCGAGACGCGTTTGCGACGGTTGAAACTACTCAAAACTCAAAGCGCGATGTAGCGGTGTAGCGGAGGGTACCCGAGCAGCGAGAGGGGAAAGCGGGAAGTCCAGTCTGACCCGCAATTAACCTAATAGGATTCAGGGAAGGAGAGAAAGCAGATGCGCGGAATGGGGGTGGTCGTACCTGCGCGGGAGCCGGTGGCGACATGTTCACACGGCGGTAGCCGTGAGGCCGCTACACCAACCAGCTAACGTGTCAATTGCGATGCTGGTTATGTCGAATGGAACGACGTCGACAACCGCGAGAAGCGGACGGCGTGATCGTTCAGATTTTAAACACTACGACCGCGGATTGGATCGCCAGATCATAGACGCACGATTGATCTGATACAGAGTCAGAAATGTAGAGATGCTAGCAATTAGGCGATTCTTCAAGGCGAGCGAGACGTGCTGGTTCTATGATCCATCTGATCGAGCAACCAATTTTCAGACAGCGAAGCCGCTGGCCGGAATCTCTCCGTGAGGACAGTAGGCAGAGGTGAGGCGAGATGAGGTAGAGGTCGCGAGATGAGGCGAGGTGAGGCAGAGGTCGTGCTAGGCATTCTTCAAGATATGCATGCACCAGCGCGACCTTGCTCGTCCGCGTTAATAATACTATTGTGACGTCCTCCAAGAATATGGCAATTTTGATTATGATACGGTGATGGGTGCTCAATCTACTAGAGCATGACCTTTTCTAGTTTTTGCAGCACACATCGCAAACGGAAAAACACAGCTTGGCTAACTCCGTTAAAATTCTGTTGTCAATGCACCAGGTTCAAACATACTCTAGTTGAAGCCATCATGCCACAACCACCACATGGGTACCCTAAATGGCAGCAACATCAGCAGCCGGGATCTTGTGGTAGTTCCAGATGGCCCACTCGAAGTACCAGCGGTGGCGAGAGGCGGCAAGGGGCGCGCCTGCTGCTGCCATGCCAGAGTCGGGCAGGTTGACGCGCGCCCACTTCTGCAGCAGAGAGCCCGCCTTCACATGCTTGCCTGCACGGGCAGTGCAGCATGGCAGAAAGGCCACAAGGGCACCAAGGGGGAAAGGGCAGGGAGGAGGGAAGGCAGGGAGGGGGGAAGGGCAGGGAGGGAGGAATAGGGAATAGCAGGAGGGAGCTTGACGTTAAGGGAAAAGGGCAGGGAGTGAGTGAAAGAAAAGGGGTTACTCGAGGAAAACGCATGGAGGGAGGGAAGGGAGGAGAGAGGTTCAGAGATGGATGTGGAGTGGGTGAGCATGCTCTGGGTACACAGGAAGCTGCGAGTCAACCCCTTAACGATCAGCCACAAGGATCCAGCCATGAATCTATCTGAGGTGAGCGCCAGCAACATACCGGTGGAGGTGTTGGTGAGGATGAAGGAGGAGCGCGTGATCACACCCAACGCATTTCCATTCGACGCCCCGCTATTGAGCTCCTCGTTATCAGCCAGGAGATCCGTGGCACTGTAGCCACGGAGCATGGCGGACGACGCATCCTGGGAAGGCAGAACTTCAGGAGCCGGGGGCGGCGGCGGGACAACAGGCGTCAGCGAGGACTTCAGCTTCACCAGAAGGAGAGAATCGACGGTCACATCCAGTGCCACGTGGCAGACCACCAGTCGCTGCAGGTAATCCTGCTTGTCCAGGGGTCCTGGTAGGGTGAGCTTCGGATGGCCAGGAGGCAGCAGCGTCACGTTGTCAGCGAAAATGCTGGCAGCTGCTGCCACGTCAGCATTCGCCAGGTTGAGGCTGAAATTCGCCCAAGCCTCCTGAATCTGCAGCTTCAAGTCGGCCGGGTGCGGATCGGCGAGAGGCTCGGACCGGGTGCGCTCTGGCTCGGGGAGGTAAGGCAGAGGCTTGGCGAGCAAGACCTCGTGGCTTGGTTGCCTGCCATCATCAGATCCAAGGGTAGCGCGGGCGTCACGGACGGTAGCATCAACGGTGGACAATGCAGCAGGAGATGGGGCAGGGGCAGGAGGATGCGGGTGGGGCGGGTGCGGAGGGTGAGGGTGCGGTGGGCGAGGCGGGGGGGAGGGGGGCGGGCCATGCCTGTGCGCGTCGTCGTTCCAGTAAGCCCAGCTGAGCCCCCACGCGTAGACGGAGTTGCTCTCTTGCTGCCGCGAAGATTCCACGTCAGCGTCCTCCGCGACCCTGGCGTTGTCCGCGATGACATCCCACAAGAGGACGAACTTGCCGGTGCGCGGCTCGGCGGACTCTGCGTCCTGCAGGAGGCGGCCGTAAGTGAGCAGCGAGTAGCCCAGGTAGCGATCGTACTTGGGCACGTACAGCTCCGCGCGCTCGATTAACGAAGCGGCAACTACCGGGGACAAACCGCTCAAAAGAGTACCATTTGCGGAGGGTGGGGGAGAGGGGGGCGGAACAGGCGCGAGTGACTCAAGAAACGCTGCCTTTTCTTCGAGGGTTTTGAGGCGCTGCAGAGGGCGGCCCGGGATAGACACTTCGGCGACGGGCGAAAAAAGGCGGCGAGCGGCGCGATCGTACTCCCCGACAGCGACGTCGAACTGCGCCTGGCGGAGGAGCGCCTCGACCGCCGCGAGGGCCAACGGAAGCTTGGGATCGCCGAGCCGACGCGGCTCAGCAGGAAATGCGGCAGCGCCATCGTTAAGCTGTGCGGCGCAGAACGCGGAGAGGGAGATAGCGAGCAGCACATAGATGGCGAGGTGCGAAGGAAAGCGCAGCGAGACGGAAGATCCGCGACCCATGGCTGAGCTGGAGGAGGATCGAAGTGGAACAAATGAAATTCAAAAGAAATGACTCCTTCAGGGAGGTGGGCGCTTTTCTTGCATGTCATGTGACTCCATTCAACGCATTCTACCCCACGACTCCCCGACAGCATTTGCTTATGTTTTTCGTGATTTTGAGGGCTGACACGCCAGCATCGTGCTTCCGAATTTTTGTTTCGGGATACCCACTAGTCTTTCAGTCTGTCTTTTGGGGCTCACACACCTTCCTTATCCCAAAGCCCGAATTTTGAGGGCTGATAGTAGGCACCATATAATTCAGTGAAAGGTAAAAGCAACACAATAATATTTCAGCTCTCTTGGCGTCAGCTAGGAGGTGAGAGGCAGAGAGCTGGGCGGTCAGGAGTAGAAGCGGGAGAGGACAACGGAGGGCACATAGTCGAGCACAATGCCGTCCTCCAGCCCCTGGAAGAACACCCCTGCATACGCCTTGTGCTCCGGGTGCTCCACATACGCATCGCGCCCCGCCGTGTCGTCAAAGGTAGTGATGAACACGTGCGTGTACCCCTTGGTGAAGCCCTCCACACTCACGTCCGCGCCCCTGCCGTGCACAAGCAGTCGCAGGGGGGGGCACAGGGCGGGCGGCAGGGGGATGTTCATGGCACGGAACGAGGTTGTAGGGAAGAGAGGGGCAGAGGGGCGAATGAGGCCGCATAGCAGTCTGGCCACATGGTGCCTGGGGGGTTTTTGCAGGGAGGCTCGTGGGAATGCACCTGTGCATCAGCAATGGGGCAGCAAGGGCCAAGCTAACGGAAAGACGTTGACGAATTTTCTTTGGTTGAAACGAAGGGAGGGGAGAGAGTGAAGCGTGGCAGATGCAGCTCACCACTCGAATCCCTTCATGGCCGGAATTTTCTTGGTGAGCCCTTTGTATCCCTCGATCAGCTCCTGGATTTGCTCAGGCGTCTGATCCGCCTTAAATTTTGCCAGGAATACGTGCTTCACCGTCGATTTCCCTATTCTAGGCTTCAGCAATGTACGCGATAAAAGCAGGCCCAGACCGGTCCCGGCAAGAGCGGCAGCTGCTGTGATGATAGTAGCGAGCTCTCGAGTCATCCTGTCGCGATCGCTTATAATTCGTGCGGTGCGGAGGCGATGAACGCGGAGAGCACTTAGGGTGCCGACGAGAGGAGGCACGATATCGAGATCAGGCACGACGATATCGAGCGAGATGCGGGCAGCGGAGAGTGGCGAAAGTAATGGGTAGCGAAAGTGAGATAGAATTGGAATGGCAAATCGAAATCTGCCGCCTTGGGTTCGAGAATGAGACGGCTCGAGTTTTTCACAGTAGGGATCCGCCAGCATTGTCGTTATGTCTAGTAATTTGATATTTAAGCAACTGTCACATCAGAGTGGCGCAGCGGAAGCGTGGTGGGCCCATAACCCACAGGTCCCAGGATCGAAACCTGGCTCTGATACTTTCAGCTGTTTTTCGAGTACCTGTGTTATGCACACAGCAGGAGTATTGACCAATATTACATTATAGTGTAATCTGTAACTGTGTGCTCATGCCGGAGTGGTTATCGGGCAAGACTAGAAATCCTGTGGGCTCTGCCCGCGCAGGTTCGAATCCTGCTGAGCACGTGTTTTGGTGTCGCCTTGCCACTCTTGACGCTCCAAGTATGATTTAGGGGTGGGGTGTTGCGTTCACTCTTTCGCTGCTTGTTCTTTTGGGGATTCCTATCTGCTCATTCCAATCTGACAGCCTTTGTTGACGACTGAATAACAGCCGCAGCGAATTCAACGGAAGAAGCCGCGATGCTGCATCACTCAGTCGCAGGAAAGCCGCTCGCTTCAGTACCTGTCGCAGGCCTCGTCGCTAGCTCCGCCCCTTATACCGCACGCCCCGGCACCGGCAAGGCAGGTGGAATTGGCCTAGTGGGTAGCAGCGAGAGAGCGCGCGGGACCCGGAGGGATCTAAGCGGCGTGTTGGTCGGGTGGAGGCGGTTAGATCGGGCCTTGAGCAGACGGTCAATTTCCGCGTCTGGTGGGGTGGTTGTGGCCGCTACTGCAGGCGCGGCGGATAGGGCAAGCGGCGGCGAGATGGACTCGGCGGAGCGACCCGTGAAGATGACGTGAGGAGCGCCCGTAATAATTGTGCTGCGCGTTTAGTTTCCGAAACTGTCACCGTTCATTCCCGCGATCTCGGGTGCATCATTGCGTTCTGTCACCGTTTTCAAAATGCTGCTACCTGAGGCTCCATCGCCCCGAGTCTCGGCCCCCTCAGTCGCGCCCTTCTTCCCATCGCGCCCTCTCCCCCATCGCGCCCTCTCCCCCATCGCGCCCTCTCCCCAATTGCGCGCTCTCCCCATTCGCGCCCTCTCCCCAATTGCGCGCTCTCCCCATTCGCGCCCTCCCCCATCGCGCCCTCCCCAATCGCGCCCCCTCCTGTCTTCCCCCCCCTCCCTCCAGCCCGGTGGTGGAGCACGTGGCGCTGTTTAATATGCCGGCGGACATGGCGGAGGAGAGCGAGGGCGACATGCTGAGCCACCTGTACTCGCTGCAGTACCACTACCCGCACCTCCTCGCCATCTCGCTCGGCCGCATCCAACCCACCAAGCGCCCCGTCGGCTTCTCCCACGCGCTCTTCGCGCGCTTCCCCTCGCGCCAGGCACTGGACGGCTTCCTCGCGCTGCCCGCGCTGGCGGCCGCCATGGAGCAGTTCGTCACGCCCTCGTGCACCGTGAGTCACCCCCTTGTGCACCGTGAGTCACCCCCTCGTGCACCGTGAGTGCCGCCTCTCGCCGATCTCCTCTCAACTCATTAGCCTTTGCTTCTCTCGTGCTGACGGCCGTCATGGAGCAGTTCCGTCTCGCCCACGTGCACCGTGAGTGCGCAATGCGGCACCAACAGTTACTCCTCTCTCGCAGCATCGGTTTCTCGTCCCTCACTCCAACTCCCCTAAACCCAACCTGCCATCGCACCCGCATGCACCATGAGTGCCGCCACTCGCCTTGCTCCTGCCAATTCCTCGGTCGTGGCTTCTCTAACCCCCTGCGTCTAGCCCTGGGTTCCTCGTCTCCCATGGCCTGCTCCCGTGTTTGTGCCTCTCCTCTTCCTTGTCTGCTTTTCATTTGTGTACCTATTCGTCCATGTGTGTGGGAAGGGGAAGTGGGGGTTGATCATGTGATCATGAATGCGTGTGCGTGAGCATGTGCGCATGAATATGATGGAGTGCATGCATGAGAGCAGGACACGCTATCGCTGTCATACGAGGCCCAGGTGGAGGCAGACATAGAGAGCGTCTTCAGGCGTGGCGATGTGAGTCCCCTGCTCTTCGCTTCTCTCCTCTTCCCCATTCCCTCTTCCACACCCCCCTCATCAAATCCTTCATCACTCTCTCCTTTCCTCGCTCCTTCACTTCAATTCTGTCCTTCTGCTGTTCCTTTCTGATGCCCTTCCTCTTCCCCCCCATGCTTTGTCCGTCCACACTCTCTCCCCCTCCTCTTCCCCCCATGGCACACTCTGAGCAGGCGTATGAGCGGGGAGTGGACCACGTGGTGTTGCTGCGCGCCAAGCCAGCAGCGGAGGCGGACAAGCAGAGCGCCATGGTTGCAGCCCTGGCTGCCCTGCCCCTAGTCATGGAACCGCACATCCTCGTGCAGCTCACTGCTGGCGCCAACTTTGCTGTCGACACCGCCAAGGGCTTTACGCACGGACTCGTGGCGAGATTCCCTTCAGGTTGGTGTATGCTTAGGTGGATGCACCCTCAGGTGGGTGGGTGCACCTCATGTGGATGCACCCTCATTCAAGTCTACATGCCCTCAGGTTTATGTACCGGTACCCTCATGTCTGTGTACCCTCAAGTCTTTGTGCTCTCAGGTCTATGTACCGTCAGGACAGATGTACCTGCCTACCTTCGCTTCTCAAGCACCCCAATCTTTGTCTCCCCTGCCACATTGTGTGATCTCAGAGGCGGCACTGGATGCTTACAACAAGCACCCCAGCCACCGGCAGGTGCTGCAACAGCATGTGCTGCCATTGAGTGAAGCCATCTTGGCTGTTGACTTTCACGTAGATCCTGTCGGGAGGGAAGAGAAGATTTAGTAAAGAACAGCACTGTTTAGTGGAATGGAGGATCATAAAATCAGGTTAGATACATTAGATCAAGATGTGTAGATAGCAAGACTACTCTCCATCATCACAATCATAGTCATCCTCACTATCGTAATTAACACAATTTCTAAGGAGGGGAGCATCAACAGCAGCTTTCGTGCAGAGGCCACTATCTACAGCAGCTATTTTTTCCTGGCAATTCACACCATGAGGTTCATTATCATTGCTATTCGACTTTCCAGGATGCTGGACATCGATACAATCATCCTTGTTGCATGCTGCATCTTCAGGTGGCTCCGCATTCAAGTCAAAATTGAGGTCAAACCCTCGCGGACTTGCTTCTGCCTTCACTTCTGCATTCGGGTCAGCTTCCCTCTGGACTGGTCTTGCTTCTGCCTTCACTGCTCGCAGGTGCTCCACCTTAGGTTCGGTAATTGCAGTTGGAGTCTCCTCCGTATCGTAATAATTTCTCTTCGGAATCTTCACTTTGCAAAGCACCTTGAACGGCCTTGGCTGGTCGGACAGAGCTTTGGACCTTTTTGTTGGCTTGCTGAGATCCTCCACTTCATCTCGCTTTCTCAAAGCATGACCAGAGCCACTTAGGCCGTCAGCTCTTGCACTTGAGAGTGGATTGCCGTTCTTTAACTTGACTTCCGCCTTCACCACTTCGTTGCAGCCGTTTGATCTCCCACGGCTAGTCCCCTTCGATTCCTGTTAAGACAACGCAAAAACCAAAGGCTGGTGAGCCCGGGACAACTCACACATCAACGAGTTGAAGAAAGCAGCAATCAACTCACCTTAAATTTCGGAGAAACAGGATCTTCTTGATCATCGTCGGACAGCTTCCTGCGGTAGAAAGGACGAAGCACAATCAATCATGAATTTAAAGCTCACAACAAGCGTCACAATTTCGGTGTACTCCTATAATAATCTCACCTCTTTGCGCGACCGGATGGGGCATCATCAGGAGAGTCCGGGGCGTCAACATCTGGAAGTTTTGAAACGACTTCTTTCAAAAAATCGTACTCGCTGAAAGAGGCGACGCACTGTTTCCTGCAACATGGCGTCGGTCGACCGTAGATCAGCACAATAATAGATACATACTCAGCTTTGCAGATAAAAAAAAGCCGACGTAAGAAAAAACGTACAATATCACCTACAAATGGGACGCGGCCAGGGTTTTCGCCCCGCGCTTGCAAGTGATATCATACGTCCGATCACACAAGTCCTGAAGGAAAATCTCTAGGGCCTTGGCTGCACATCTAACCCCGAAAACATACGAAGGCGGAGACATGCAGCAAATAGACTTAGTTGAGAAGAAAAAAATCCGTAATACGAGACGGAGGTAGAAGATGCAAATATCTTTCCAACGTACATATCAGAACGGGAGTTGCAAGCGCTATCTTTCCGACTTCTTCATCCGCTTGCATGATCTTCTTTATTCGAGCCTGAAGACCACAGAAACGCGACAACAAAACACGAAAGATGAGTGGAAGATGAAGCACGTCACACTGCAAATAGCGAGGACGAACGCTGCACGTACCGCTGGAAACCGAGTGTCAAGCTTCTTTCTCATGATTGGCGATGCGGTTCCTAAGTCAGGTACAGGAGCAGATGGGCTGGAGGGAGGATGGTCGCTTGCAGACTGGGTGTTCGGACCCAGATCGGGGAGCACCACCGAGGGGGGTTGGATTGGGAAGCCCAGCAAAATTGGACGGAAATTGCGAAACCCTGACGGGAACTGGAACGGAACGGCAGGCAACAGGGGCGTCAAGCTGACGGAGACTGCCAATCAATGTGGATGATTTTTATAGTCCAGGTTTCGAAATGCTTTGAGTGTTCGAATGGAGCTTCAGATCTCTGCGGCTCCAAAGGACTTCACGATTCAGATTCTTATGACCCAATTACAAATTGCCGAAGGATGCTAGATTTCACATTGTTTTAAGCCTTTGGCGGAACAACGCGGCGGAATCGGGTGTGACAGCCTGACTTTCAAGCCGGAAGATTACATTTTTGCGATTGCGAACAGGCACTTGCATGCAGAGAAGACCTTCGAATGGCTGAGGCTGGATGACGTGGCTAATTATTGATGCTACACTCCTTGTAGATCAGCATTTTCAATAAGCCTTACAAAAATTCTCCTTATGCAAGCCAATTTCCACAGCTCATTATCTCAACAAGCGATATAGCGAGCGACTCAGTGAAGGCGCTTATTCGTCGCTTTGTTCCCTCCATACGACACCCATTTTCCGCAATCGCCGCCGCAACCTCCGCTCCACCATTCCACATCCATCACATCCGCAATCGTCGCCACCACTTCCGCTGTCACCATGTTCCGGTCGCTCGGTCGCCTAGCTAATCGATCTGGGACCGTTCAAAATGTGAGAAGGGACCACGGCCACCCCTAGCTTCGACCTCGACTTAGGTCTTTCCTCGGTTAAGCTTTCGAGTCAGACGCTTCTGTCCCCTGGTGTTGGATCAGCAATCCGATCTTCCTTACAACGCGTCCTTTCTGTGAATCCTGACCATCTGTGCGCCGTTGGATCTTGCTTGACGAAACCTAAACGCATTCCTGACGACGGCGTGTATGGCATGTCTGCCATCGCCTTCTCCCTCCATCCCTCACGCGTCTCATCGCTTCCTTCTCGTACCTCTTCTCCAATGCGCATTGCAGGCGATTCGATCCTTTGCCGCCGAGGCTGCGCCCGTCGATGTAAAGGTACGAGTGACGCCTGTCTTGTCGTTGGCGTGGAGGATGCAGGAATGGGGGGGAGAGGGGGAAGGAGAGGCTGTTGCTTCTGCGTTCAGTGCGTCAGCTTCATCTTTTCTTCTCGCCTGACCGACAACAACCGACCCCTTCACTCTTCCCCCTCACCTCCCCATCCCCCCTACACCTCCCCTCCCCCGCACACCCCGTCCCCCGCCAGGTACCGACGGCGGTGTTCGGCGTGGCGGGCAAGTACGCGTCGGCGCTGTACGTGTCGGCGGTGCGCGGCGGGAAGGTGGACGCGGTGGAGCGCGAGATGCGCGAGCTCGCGGCCGTCACGGGCGCCAACCCCACCTTCGCGTCGTTCCTGCGCGACCCGTCGGTGTCGCGCGAGGTGCGCGTGAAGGCCGTGGAGGACATCTTCTCGCAGGCCAAGTACTCGCCCATCACCAAAAACTTCCTCGGTGAGCGGTTGAGAGCGGTGGGTGGGGTGTTGCTGTGTCGAGGTGTGTGATGGTAACGAGCGGGGAGGGCTGTGGAGGTCAATGTCTCCCGCGCCAGCAGCTCGCACACCACCAGGAAAGCTCTCAGTTGGTGGGGCGTGCGGTGGTTGTGATGGGCGAGGCGTGTGACAGCATCGAACTGAGAAGGTGACGAATGCTATCTTCGCCCAGCACTATTGGTGCCGTCCGCCCCCTCCTCCCTCTCCCCTCTCTCCTCCACTCAGTCCATGCAGAGCTGACGTCTCGCTTCCCCCCATTTCCAACCCCCCTTTCCCCCGCCTCCCTTGCAACCGCCCCGTCCTGTGTATGTGCGGGCAGCTGTGCTGGCGGATGCGGGGCGGCTGTCGTATCTGCCCAAGATAGCGGCCACGTACGAGGACATCCTCATGGCCCACCGCGGCCAGGTCAAGGCCACCGTCACCGCTGCCCTCGTGAGTCGCATCCCATCACATCGGATGCTGTTTTCTCTTTTCCACCGGCCACTTGCTGACCAGGTGGTGAGCTGCAGGCGTCAGAAGTCAACTGCATGCTTGCTTGTATGCCATTTCTTCACCTTAACTCCCCAAACCCTCGCCGGTCATGCTGCGTTGTTTCCCCTCGCCACGTCTGCACTCCCTTCCTTCGCACTTCCCTCTCTCCACCTCCTCACCCCCTTTCCTCCTCTCCAGGAGCTGACCTTACTGGAGCTGGCAGAGAAGGGGGAAGAACTGGAGGGCATGCTGCAGGCAGGCCCCTCCACTTGCCAATCCCACCCATGTCCCTCTTTGCAGGAGCTGACCCCAGCAGAGCTGGCGGAGGTGAGGGAGGCGCTGACGGGCATGCTGGAGGCGGGGCAGACGCTGCAGCTGCAGCAGCGGGTGGATCGCAGCATCATTGGCGGTGTGCTGGTGGACATCGGTGACAAGCACATCGACCTCTCCATCCGCTCCAAGATCCGCCGCATGGAGAAGGCCCTCCTCGAGTCCCTCTAGACGGGCTGGCTTGTGCAGCGTGCACGGTGTAATTGTGTATGCACGTGAAGCGGAGTAAAATTGTACTAGCGGCGATTTGGTGTTGTGATAGCATACGATACTGATTACCTCTTCACAAGTGCAGTCCACAGTGATGGTAACTCAAGTGCCACCGTTTTTTCCATTGCACTTCTTGATGTTCGCACTTGTACGCATGTAGAGTGGGATTCTTTCTGTACAGATACTGGGATGTTGACCTGAAATACCGCATGGTTTCCGGACCACACTCAACAAAATCAAGAGACCTGATAAAGGCCAACGTACCAGTATCTATCCTTCACCTTTCAGAGAGAGTATCAAATTAACCAATGTTCGTTAAACCTCCAAGGGGCTTCAAAAAGCAGGCATTGAACCTGACGTGAATCGAACACGCAACCTTCTGATCTGGAGTCAGACGCGCTACCATTGCGCCACAGATCCGTGACAGCTAGTAGTCGCAGATATATAATTTACATAAATAATTTACTCTGCTTCAAGGTGACGCCAAGCCAGCTGGTGTGAAGGATGAGCCCCATTTCGTTTGTAAATCTGGGCCGTCGATAGCTCTCGTTGCGAGTAACTATCCCTCTCAGCGACAACGGGTGGGGTGCCTGTGCTCTTCGCCAGTTTGCCGAGCAGCGATCCAGTTTCGAGTTTTGGAAGTTCAAACATCCGCAGCAGGACGAAACAGATTCAAGGCGTGCGGCAACTTCAAGAAGCCTGATTCAGCAGACAGCCATTCAGTTCCTCGTGCTCCGTTCCCAGGATTTGAATATCCAGTTCAGTAGCGATTCAGACTGTAAAGCCGGCATAGCAGCACTTCAGACAGCCGACGATTTGACATCTCATCGTTCTTCTTACATATCGGGTTGTACCCTTTCCCGTCGCCATCGCCATGGCGTCGGAGTTAACTCCGAACGCGCTTGAGATTCTAAACTCCGGTGCGACAGATGGCAATTTCATATTGCAAGTGTTCGACTCGCGGCAGGTCGGGAGCGCGTCCGTGCCACCCGCGCAGGAGCGATACCGGCTGATGCTGTCGGACGGGCGATGGCACCAGTGGGCCATGATCGCGTCGCAGATGAACGAGCTCATGCGCACCTCCGTTAAGAAGGGCTCCATTATAAATCTCACGGAGTGCGTCACCAACACTGTTCACGGGAAAAAGTAAGACGGGAACGCGACGTGGATGTAGCGAAAGCATAGCGGCGGCATGGTAAAGCAGATGACGAGCATTACAATGGCGTACACCAGTCTCCGTTATCAAGTTTTTATTTCCCTTTTCTTTTCCAAGACTCCTGACGTGTGTTTTACGCATGTGCGTCGATGCAGGATCGTGATCATTCTGAAGATGGAGGTGGTCAAGACGGACGCCGCCATCATAGGCGATCCGCAGCCCTTCCCCGCCGACGGCCAGGCCCCGCCTCCGCGCCAGCAGCCGTCGTCCACCCCCGCCAGCACACTCACCAACAACTCCGCCGCCCCACCCCCGCAGCAGCACCCGCCGCCACAGCAGCCGTCCAACGCTTCTCCTAGTCCCATGGCGCAGTACGGCCCGTCGGGCGCTGCTCATCCGTCCAATGCAGCCCAGCCAGTCCCGCCCAACCCGTACGCCGCTGGTGGCTTCGGTCAGCAGCAGCAGCAGCAGCAGCAGCAGAAGCAGTCGCAGTATTCTGGGGTATCCGGACCTCCTGGTGGAGGTTCCGCCGCTAGTCACGGAGGAGGATTCGCAGGTGGCCCAGGCGCGGGCGGCGGCGGAGGATACGGGGGAGGGGGCGGAGCAGCTCCCCCGCCGTCTTACTCCGCGCGCGGGCCCGTGGCGCGCAACGAGGCGCACGCGCGGGTGGTGCCGATCGACTCGCTGAACCCGTACCTGGGCAAGTGGACGATCAAGGCGCGCGTGACGTCCAAGGGCGACATCCGGCGGTACAACAACGCGCGCGGCGAGGGCAAGGTGTTCAGCTTCGACCTGCTCGACGCCGAAGGCGGGGAGATCCGCGTCACGTGCTTCAACCGCGAGGTCGACAGCTTCTTCGACAAGATCCAGGTGCGCCGCGCTGCGAGAGCACGGGGGGAAGGGCCAGCTGACTGGGTGCCGCAACCGCCAGCGGGGCAACCAGTTGGTAGTGATCAGCGTTACCATCTGCGTTGAGCCACAAGCCTGCTTTCCCTGTCTCGTGTCTCACATCCCTCTGTGATCCCCTCCGTGCTCTCTTTCTGACTCTTTCTTTCTTCCCTCTATACGCCTCTATCTGCCCGTCCTCCCTCACTCTGTCCGTCCTGCCATGGAGCAGAAGGGGCAGGTGTATCTGCTGTCCAAGGGCAGTCTGAAGCCAGCACAGCGCATGTACAACCACCTGCGCAGCGACTGGGAGATCATGCTCGACGCGTCCTCCACGCTCGACCTCTGCCCCGACGACGGTGCCATCGGCGCCATCCAGTACGACTTCCGCACAATCGCTGACGTGGCGGGCATGGAGAACAACAGCGTGGCGGACGTGGTGGGCGTGGTGGTGTCGGTGGGCGCGAGCTCGAGCATCATGCGGCGCAACGGCACCGAGACCATGAAGCGCACCTGCATGATCCGCGACCAATCCGGGCGGCAGACGGAGCTCACCATGTGGGGCGGCTTCTGCAGCGCCGAGGGGCAGCAGCTGCAGGTCAGGCGCGCGTGGTAGGGGTGATAGGGGTTGGTAGGGCGTGTGTGTTGGGGGGCGGAGAGGATGATAGGGGGTGATGGGGTGTGGGATGGGGTTATCGCGTGAGTTGAGTATTGCGAGAGGAGTGACACGAGCTTGTTGCCATCCAGAAATGAATTCCACTCTCCTTCCCCCCTTCTTTTCCTCATCCCCACCCCACCTGTCGCTGCCGTGGCCAGGAGCTGGTGGAGGCGGGGCAGCACCCGGTGCTGGCAATCAAGGCGGGGCGAGTGAGCGACTTCAGCGGCAAGTCGCTGGGCACCATATCGTCCACGCAGCTCGCCATCAACCCCGACATCCCCCAGGCCAAAGAGCTCGCCGCCTGGTACACGTCTGGCGGGGGCGCGTCCATGCCCGTGCAGGTCATCTCCTCCGAGTTTGGCGGGGCGGGCGGGGGCGGGACAGGCAGGGAGCCTCGCAAGCTGATAGCGGCGATTAAGGATGAGGGGCTGGGGTTGGGCGGGAAGGTGGACTGGATCTCTGTGCGCGGCACCGTGTCGTACTTCCGTGCGGATAACTGCTACTACCCCGCGTGCCCGCTGACGACGGCGGAGGGGCGGCAGTGCCAGAAGAAGGTGGTGCAGGACAGCAACGGCGACGGGTGGTACTGTGAGAAATGCGGCCGTGCCACGCCCACCTGTGACTTCCGCTACATTCTCAGCTTCCAGCTGCAGGACCACACCGGCATGACCTGGCTCTCCGCCTTCCAGGAAGTTTCGGAGGAGATGCTGAAGACGCCTGCATCAGAGATCAACAGGTGGAGGGAGGAGAACGACCTGCGGGCGGGGGAGGTGTTTGCCAACGCGCAGTGGAGCCAGTGGGTGGTGAAGCTCAAGGTGCGCGAGGAGACTTGGCAGGACGAGGCCAAGGTGAAGTGCACCGTGGTCAAGGCGGAGCCCGTCAACTATGCGGCTGAGAGCCGCGTGCTGCTGGACTATATTGGCCGGCTGCAGCGGGGAGAGCCGCTCACTGCGCCCGTGCCGGCTTCCCCTGGGCTGTCTGCTGCTGTGGGGGGCATGCAGGTGGGTCGGGGGGGAGCTGCGGGTGGGGGGTATGCGGCTGGAGGAGTGGGATATGGCGGCGCTGCTGGTGCTGGTGCTGGCGGCGGTGGTGGGTATAACAGCAGTGCGTATGGCGGCGGTGGTGGTTATGGTGGGGGTGGGGGGGGATACGGTGGGGGAGGGGGTTTTGACGGTGGCAGTGGGGGCAGGGGCGGTGGGGGCGGTGGTGGAGGGGGAGGTGGGTCGTGTTTTAAGTGTGGGGGTTCGGGCCACTGGGCGCGAGACTGTCCTGCTGCTGGTGCTGGTGGGGGCGCAGGTGGTGGGGGTGGTTATGGGGGCGGGGGTGGTGGTGGTTATGGTGGCGGCGGTGGCGGTGGCGGGGGGGGAGGGGGCGGGAGTGGTTCATGTTTCAAGTGTGGGGGGTCGGGTCATTGGGCGCGAGATTGCCCTGGTGGGGGTGGTGGTGGTGGCGGCGGTGGTGGCAGGGGAGGTGGATATGGGGGTGGAGGATATGGTGCTGGTGGCTACTGAAGGATGGGTACTGAAGGATGGGTGGCGGAGGATGGCTGCTGAAGGATCACTACTGAACGAGATTTGGCATGTGCTTGATACTGATTCTGTTTTGTTTTTGTTTCTTTTAGTATGACAATCTAATTCCCTTGTACGTACGATTGGTTGAGATGTGTCTTGGAAGGTTGAAGCTAACATGTGATGAGGCCCATTATCCCATTCAGCACAGCTCACCAAGGGACACACCCCACATGCACATGCACACCATCAATTCTTGTAAATATCATCAGCACTTGCTGATAAACATGATTTTGTGTATGTTTCTGGGCCAACTTTCATATGCTATGTGAGTTGTAAGTATTATGTGCTGTATCTTTGAACAAATGAACATGGGCCTGAAGCGCGACAGCCAGTTTCCTATCGGTAACCGCTGTCAGTGTCAGAAATGCGCGGGAAATTTTGAACACCTCGAGACTGGCTCGCAGGTGCCATATACTTCCCATTGGCTCACTCACCTGGAATCGCCCAGCAGCCTTTTGGTGGGTGTACAAGCCATTCAACCTCGAGGTGGAATTCCGCGCTGCAACTCCCGAGGTTCTTACTCAACACTCTCTTCGCCTGCTGAACTATCAAGCCGTGTTCCGAAGCCACTCAATCCTACTCAGTAGATTGTCTCCGCGATTCCACAGGTTCCCGCTGGTAATTTCTTTTTAGGCTCTTCAGTCATTGTAAAGGTTTTGCCTGCTAGTTGTCGTCCTCACGACGCTACCCTAGTTAAAGCCGTATAGTTGCACTTGATTCTGTTTTATATAGTAGTATTGCCTTGTGGCGCACGTCAAGTCAACAGCCTTGTTGACCCGCGCCGGTGAATTCGATCTTGGACACCGGACAGCTAGTCCTCAGCGACGATTTGGAAAGCTCTTTTAGAGTTTCGATAGAGACACGACAGGCCATATCTGCAGGCAGCTTCCCGCTGCTGAATAAGTGAAGGGTGAGAAGCCAAGTAGGATTCAGAACTCTCTTATTTCGACGACTAGCCATGGGGATTCCCGATGACCAAGCCGTCGGATCTAGCCCGCCTTCATCATCTGGAGCCGAGCGATCCTCGCATGGCGGTCAGAGCAGGCTGATCATCACGGAGATGGTCCTCGAGAACTTCAAGTCGTACGCGGGCGTGCAGCGCGTAGGACCGTTCCACAAGTGCTTCTCGTCGGTCGTCGGCCCCAACGGCAGCGGCAAGAGCAACGTGATCGACGCCATGCTCTTCGTGTTCGGAAAACGCGCGAAGCAGGTTAGTGTGCTGCTTTATTGAACGAAGATGAATCAGTCTCTTGTTCGCTATGACGATGCCAATCCTGCATCAATGCCTTTTCGTGCTGTTCGTTGATAGCTTTCCGAAAATTCTGACCTTTTCATGAGCTGACTCATTTTATTACATTCATGGCATGGCCTTGCAGCTGCGACTGAACAAGGTGTCGGAGCTGATTCACAACTCCACAGACCATCAAAATCTCGAGTCGGCCCGCGTATCCGTGCACTTCAAAGAGATAGTTGATTTGGTAAGTCCAGGAAGCAGCAGCATAGACGATGCGAGCAACGGCCGTATTCGTGTTCTTCCATGACCTACTTTTCAGCTATGCCTTGCTGGAACTCTCAGACGCTGTATTTGTGTTTTTTTTTCAGGATGACGAGAAGTACGAGTCAGTGCCAGGATCGGAGTTCGTTATATCGCGTACGGCGTACCGCAACAACACGTCCAAGTACCACGTGGACGACCACGCGAGCACGTTTACGGAGGTGACGAGGCTGCTCAAGGCCAAGGGGGTGGACCTCGACAACAACCGCTTCCTCATCCTGCAGGTGCGCGCCGCTGCCTAGGCAGTAAAGACAGTGTGAGACGCGCGATTCGCCTGGACTTCGCGACTCCTGAAGCACTCCTTGCTGACTACTAGCGTTCCTTGATCCTGTTAGTAGTTGTCCGTTGCCGCTTTAGTTCCCGCGCTCGTTCACGTGCTGTTATCGTCGGTAAATGCGTTCATTCCAATTGCTCTTATCTCGCATGCGACTGCTGCGCGCGCAGGGCGAGGTGGAGCAGATCGCGATGATGAAGCCCAAGGCGCAGGGCCCGCACGACGAGGGGCTGCTGGAGTACCTGGAGGACATCATCGGCTCCAACCAGTACATTGAGCAGATCGACGCCGGCGCCAAACAGTGAGCTTCCCCCCTGCGTCCCTGCCTCCCTACCCCTCATGCTCCGCTGTCCGGTTGGTCGTTCTTGCGCGGTGTAGCTTGTTGGAATGGAGAATCGTGCGGTTTGGCGTGGCAATGCGCCGACGGTTGTTGACTCGAGCGTGGTGCCGGTGCGGTGGCGTGTGCAGGCTGGAGGAACTGAACGAGCGGCGCGTGGGGTTGGTGGAGCGAGTGAAGCACGCGGAGAAGGACAAGGACACGCTCGAGGTCAGTGGGTGGCTGCTGTGAGGAGATTAGAGCGAGTGCGCAGTGGCTGCTGTGGGGGAAAGAGAGGGAGAAACATGAACTTGTCTTAGCTGCCAATTTGTTGGTTGAAGGTGCTGTCGCGAATTCCCTTCCTGCATTGTGTCCTCTAACTGCGTTCCCCTCACGCGCTGCCACCCGTCTGCTCCCTCCCTGCCTGACTCCTCCCTCCCGAACCCCCTTTCCGCGCGCGGTGCGGCAGGAGGCGAAGCGGGCGGCGGAGGCGTACATGGTGAAGGAGGCGCAGTGCGCGCAGTGGGGCATGGTGGGGCGCTCGCTGGCGCTGAGGGAGTCGCAGGGCAAGGCGGGCGCGCTGGGCGCCAAGGTGGCGGCGCTGGAGGACACGCTGACGGCGGAGAAGTGAGTGTGGGGGGGGGGCAATAAGGGGAGAGCTGCGCGAGGAAGGAGGTATATGGTGGGAATAGTCGAAGAAAACGCAGAGGGGTGAAAGTCAGACTGCCAGCGTGGAGAGGAGGGAAGGGGAGTAGGAGGGATAGGCAGGAGAGAAGGGTGAGTTTACTTACGTGCGTTTACCGGGACTGAAGTGCTTCTATCTCTGTCCGCGCGTGCAGGGAGAAGTGCGCAGGGCTGCGGGAGGAACTTCAGGTGAAGACAGACGCGTGCGAGAAGTGCAACACGGAGTATGAGGTGAGTCATGGGGAGGGACGGCGGAAGAGAAGGGTGACTCGCGAGAGGTGGAACGGCTGTGTGTGGTAGGATTCGCGAGGCATCGTGGGTAAGGGGCGATAGAAGGGTTGAACGAGAAGGAACAGCTGCGACGTTTTGCCTGAAGTGGTGTGTCAGTTGAAAAACGACTGAACGGATATCCGTTTCGTGGCAAGTGAAGCTATGCCTTGGTCACCTTGTGCCACTACTGGCTTCATGATTCTCACTGCACGGCTGGCCATGGCAGGCGCTGTGCGGGGAGCTGGAGGCGGCGAGGGCGGACTTCAAGGAGTACGAGCGCAAGGACGTGAAGATGCGCGAAGACCTCAAACACTGCAAGGCGCGCCTCAAGAAGCTCGCCGATAAGATCGCCAAGGTGAGGGCGCGCGCCTCAATGCACTCGCCGTACATGCAGATACCGCTGCAATCGGAAATTGCGGCCTGGAATGTAGTTTACCTGATTCTCGCGTCAGCCTCTCGCCTCCTCTCTCATACAGCTGTTTCCGTGTTGAACCCAACAGGACACAGCCAAGGCGGAGGAGGTGGAGAAGGCAGCAGCGGCGGCGGAAAAGGCCATCCCCGAGCTGGAGAAGAAGGCAGCCGCGCTGGCACCGCGGCTGGCGGAAGCGGAGAAGAAGCTGGAGAGCATCCAGGAGCACGTCCGAGGTGCGTGCTGTGAATCGCATCCTCCTTCCTCCTCTCCCTTCCCCCGGCAGCCCCTGTGACTAACAACAACCTGTCTGAACTTACATTGGTGATGTGTGTGGCAGTGGAGGTGGAGCGGCAGCAGCAGCAGCTGGGCCCGCTGCAGGAGCAGCTGGCGCCGTTGGAAGAGAAGTCGAGCGCCGCCAAGGCCAAGGCTGACGTCACGCGTACGAAGCTGAGCCTCATCCGCGACAAGCACGCGGCCGCCGAGAAGCAGCTGGAGGCGGTGCGGAAGGCGATAGAGGAGCGCGAGGAGGGGCGGAAGCAGAAGCAGGAGCAGCTGAAGCGCATGGAGGCGGCCGTGAGGGAGAGTGAGGCGGTGGCGGCTGCCAGCGCCAAGGAGGAAGAGGCCAAGGCGGAGGAGGAGGCTGCCGCGCGCGCAGAAGCGGAGGCGGCGCAGGGGCGCGCGGCGGAGATGAAGGAGGCGGCAGCGGCGCAGCGCAGCAGCAGCGCCATCCTGACGGCGCTGCTGCAGGCGAAGCGGGACGGCAGCATCCCGGGCATCTACGGCCGCCTGGGCGACCTGGGCGCCATCGACGGTGAGGCGCTAGAGTGGGAAGATGCGGGATAGGAAAGGCACAATGTGGTGACGTCAAGAGCGTTCGGCTTGCTGGAGTAGATGGTGGTATGCAGTCCTACGCTGGCCTCGTCTCACACTCCTCCCACCTGCCTTCCGTGCATGGCATGTCCCCTGCAGCCAAGTACGACGTGGCAATATCAACGGCGTGCGCGGCACTGGAGTACATAGTGGTGGACAACATCGAGACTGCACAGGCGTGCACGGCGCTGCTGAGGGAGCGGCAGCTGGGCGTGCAGACCTTCCTCGCCCTGGTACGGCCATGCGTGCCCTCTTGCTTCCTTGCTCATTCCCTGCCCTCCCCTTGCGCGCTTCCTCCTTTTTCCGAACCCTCTAATTCGAGTTACCGCCACTGCAGTGTTTCCTCACGCCCTCCATCCCCACTTCCGCACAGTCGTTTCTCACGAATTTCCAGCGTGCACGTCTCTCAACTTGTCCCCCGCGCCCCTCCCGTCTCTCGCCGAGCGCCAGGACAAGCAGCAGCACCTGGTGCGGGACATGTCAGAGAAGGTGAGCACGCCGGAGGGCGTGCCGCGCCTGTTCGACCTGGTGCACGTGCATGACGCGCGCCTGCTGCCCGCCTTCTGGTTCGCCCTGCGCAACACGCTCGTCGCCTCCTCCCTCGACCAGGCCTCGCGCATCGCGTACGGCGCGGACGCGCGGTTCAGGCGGGTGGTGACGCTGGCGGGGGAGATGTTCGAGTCCAGCGGCACCATGGCGGGCGGCGGGGGGCGCCCCCGCGGCGGCCGCATGGGCAGCTCGCTCAAGGCGGCGGCGGCAGCGGCAGGCGGGGGAGTGACGCGGGAGATGGTGGAGGAGGCGGAGAGGGAGGTGGCGCACGTGGTGGCGCGCCTGGAGCGAGCGCGGGAGGAGAGGCGCGCGGCTGTGGCGAGGAGAGAGGAGGCGGAGAGGGTGTTGAAGCGGCTGGGAATGGACATTCCCAAGGTCCAGATGGAGGTAATCGCTTGTGTTAGACCCCGTCTCCCTTTAATGCTCTTGGACGTTGCACCCCTCACAGTTCACGCGTCTCACGCATCTACCTCTCTCCCTCTTTCTCTCTCCCGTCCCGGGCAGATCGAGTCCCTGGCAGCGCAGGTGGGCGAGCTGCAGCAGCGCGTGCAGGGGCTGCAGGCGGCGGCCGTGACGAGCGCGGAGGAGGAGAGGCAGATGGGCGTGTTGCAGCAGCAGCTGGCGGGCGAGGAGGGCGACGAGGCGCGCATTCAGGAGGAAATGGCGCCGCTGGTGGCGGCGGTGGCGCGCGTGCAGCAGGCCATCACTGATGCCGGCAGGGAGGCGCTGGGCGAGCAGAAGGACCACGTGGCCGCCATCCAGAAGGTGCGGCGTAGGGCGTGGAGACGTGTGGATTTAGGTTCGAACAGCTTGTATTGAGTGCTGGGTGTGGAAAGGGAATGAGCAGCTGGGAGTGAAGGACTCGCAACAACGAGGGGAAGTAGTCCACGTGTGCCAGGGCTTGATTGCAAGCGCGGATCACCCATTCTATACATCCCTCAGTTGTGCTTAGCCTCAGTGCACACAGATAATTCCTGTCCACTCGCTATTCCTCTGCAATGTGCCTCGTTACAGGCCATAGACGAGGCGCAGACGGGCATCAACCAGAGCCGTGTGACGGTGGCCTCGAGCAGCCGCAACCTGGAGAAGCTGAGGAAGGCGGTGGGGGAGGCGGAGGAGGAGAGGGCGAAGGCGGAGGAGGAGATGACACGGAAGAAGGAGGAGATGAACGCCGTCATGCAGGAGGCCTTTGCTGTCAACGACAACTACGAGCGCCTCCGCCAGGTGCGCGGGGGGGAGTGGTGTGAATGCCCACTTGGAGGATGCGATCAGAGTTCTGTTACAAAGTCCTTCATCCCCTCACCCCCGCTCTTCCCTCTCTCTTCCCCTCTCTGATTATTCTGTTTCCACCCTTCCCTCGTTTCCCTGTGCTGACATGACATGGCGTGTGGTGGTTGCAGTTGGTGGAGGGCAAGAAGGAGGAGTATGGCGGCATGAAGAAGGAGTTCCTGGCCATCAAGGCACAGCTCGACAAGATGCGCACCGGGGAGGTGAGATGCACACCGGGGAGGTGAGATGAAAGACAGGTGGTGGGACGGGTCGAGCTCGAGGGGAGTACACATATCGAGCATTACCTTTTTCTAGGATCCCTTCTTCTCCACGTCCACTGACATCACTTCTCGTGCCCTCAGGTGGATGTGGAATTGAAGCTGGAAGATGCGAGGAAGGCGCTGAGGACGAGTCAGGAGATGGCTCGCCTGCAGAGGGAGAAGCTGAGGGCGCTGGGCGCGCAGCTGAGGCAGCACATCGCACAGTGAGTCCATCACACCGCTGCATGCTGCAGTTGCCCTCACAGCACACACTAGTGAGCCTTCACACCATCCCAAAGCCCCTTCTGTACCAGGCCCTCACCTCATCTCCCTCCTGTGCCCGCCATCCGTCCGTCCCCCCTCCAGGATGCAAGCGGAGGGCATTGCAGAGGAGGACGCGGAGGCTGCTGGGCTGCCGTGGGACCTGCAGGAGGAGGAAGGGGAGAGGCAGGGCAGGGCACGACCGGCAGCAGCAGGCGCAGCAGAAAGAGGAAGCCAAGGGGAGGATGAGGAGATGGAGGGCGATGAAGCTGCAGAGCACAGGGAGGGAGGTGTGGGTGAGGTGGGGGTGGCAGATGGGGGGGATGGTGAGCTGGAGAAGCTGCAGGCCCGCTTGTGTGGTAACCTTGTGCGTGTGGTTACGAGTCGGGAGGAGGCAGCAGCAGGGGAGCAGCGGCTGCGAGCAGAGCTGGAGGCACTCAAGGGGAACCTCAACCTGAGCTCCATCGCAGAGTGAGTGCGCTGCCTGCTGCCAGTCGGTCCCTCTGCTCTATGAAAGTATGTGAGCTACAGGAGCGTGTATCTGAGCAGCAAAGAGTGAGTGTGAGCAGTACTGGGAGCTTCAGTGTGGCTAGGTGTTAAACTATAAACACGTACCCTAGACTAAAATAACAAACTATAACACTTTTAGTTTGACACTACGCACATCTGTGTGCTTTCATCATTTCCCTGTTAGCAAAACAGGTGACTGTCAACGACCGCCTATCTAAATTTGACAATCTCCATCTACCCTGAACCATCGCCATGGGTGCGTGTGCAGGTACCGCAAGAAGGAGGCGGTGTATTCACAGAGGCTGGGCGAGCTGGAGGCGGTGACAGCGGAGCGCGACAGCGTGCGGGTGGCACAGGAGGAGGTGAAGCGGCGGCGGCTGGACGAGTTCATGGCGGGGTTTGACATGATCACGATGCGGCTCAAGGAGATGTACCAGATGATCACGCTGGGCGGCGATGCTGAGCTGGAGCTGGTGGACTCACTGGACCCGTTCAGCGAGGGCATTGTGTTCTCCGTGCGCCCGCCCAAGAAGAGCTGGAAGAACATCTGCAACCTCTCGGGTGGGGAGAAGGTAAGCCGCTGCCTGCTTCCCTGTTACGGGGTGTTAATGCTTCTGGCAAGGCATCAGGCATTGTCCTGTGCTGATGCACTTCTGCTTTACAGTGCTGCAGTGCCATGGCATTAGCGACTTATTAAACTGCCCAACCCCTCGCCGTCCTGCTGTGTTGGTCCCGCTGCTGCAGACACTGAGCTCGCTGGCGCTGGTGTTCGCGCTGCACCACTACAAGCCCACGCCCCTCTACGTCATGGATGAGATCGACGCCGCTCTCGGTGAGTCCCACACGAGCCGTGAGTGTTGGCTTGGGTGTGCAGTGAGAGAACGGGGGAATACTTGGAAGCACATAGCACAAGAAAACGGGAAAGGGCAAAGAACATGGTGAACCCCGACATTGCGATACTGCTTCCTGTGATGCTTCTTGCAATGCACCTTCATGGTTGGGCATGAGAGCATGTCCCTGTGCTGCTCTGTGTGTGACTCTTTGTCTGTGCCCTGCAGACTTCAAAAACGTGTCCATAGTGGCGCATTACATCAAGGAGCGCACTAAGAACGCCCAGTTCGTCATCATCAGGTAAGATGCACACATTGTACCCCCTTGCGCTCCTCTTTGGGTTCCTTCCTACCATAGCCTCTGCATTTATGGACTTTCCTATTGCTTAGTTTTGTTTTCATGGTATCACTATCTTTCTCAATACTGTTTGACGTGTCTGTTCCCTTCTGCACAGCCTGCGCAACAACATGTTTGAGCTGGCGGATCATCTCGTTGGGATATACAAGACACACAACTGCACCAAGAGCATCACTATCAACCCACGTAGCTTTGCAGTCTCGGCTGCTCCTACAGCGGCGGCTGCTCCAACTGCTGCTACTTAATATATACGTGGGGACTGCTCCAGCCACTATCGATATCTACAAGATGTTTGTGTTTTTCTGTTGAAACAAGAGTGTGCATACATGCTAGAGCGATATGTATAATAGTCGGATTGTGAAATGTTTCTTGCACCTACAGTGTGCGTTGCTTCCGGTCTGGCAACAGATTGAGGCAATAAAGCGAATGAAGCTCCCACAACGAGCAGGAAGTTGACTAGTCTCAACACCACAAGCTTCACAATCCACCACTTTCGTTCATCCGTGAGCTCCTCGGTGCTTTGCTTCTGTTTCCGTCGATTTCTTTCCTCTGCCTTCGCACCTCGAAGTCGCATTTACGCCTTCTCCTCGAGTCGAATTCCAGTCTTCTTATGACATTCCGTTTTCCATGAAAATCGGAATATTGTGGCAGGCCATAGTTCCGACGTCCGTCTCGGATCTACCTGGTTAGTCGGGTTAGGAATCTTCCATTCTTATTTTCTCTGACTGTACCAGCTGCTCCGTTTTCACTCTCTGAGCCTATAGCCATGGCTTCTGAGGATCTGCCTCGTGGCTCCGTAGCGGTCATGTCGGAGGTGGAGGTCATGTTCGCTTTCCTTGCCTACGCCGTTCCAATAGTGGCGATGATCTCGTACCACAAACGCAGGTATGGACACAAACTTACCCACTGACGCAGATTCTGACATGATCTCATACCGAATGCAGGAATGATTGATGATGGGCAACCTTATGTATCAATTTTTAACACAAACGCAGACGGACTTGGTTATTATGTACGCAACTATCAGCTAGTTGATCTTACTGCTAACACAGGTGTCGACATATTGCGCTACCATAGATCAGGTTATGGCATGGTTCCTCACCATAAACTTCAGTACGCATGCAAGTTCTGAAAAAAACCGCATAGCAGTAGCACAAGTCCTGATGGCGTGTTACACGATCTACACAGGTCCGATTTGTGCAAATCAAACAGGTCTTTGACTTTGCCCCTTCCAAGAGTGTAAGTAAGTACCTCCGTACCGCAAATGCAGGCATTCACGTAATAGATTATCAGAATCGCATCTATTCACATGAGTTGTGATCACATTTTTAGGCAGTGACGCATTTTCTTACAAAAACATGGATTGACTGACATATCTATTCGCCTTGGCCTTAAAATCACCTGTGCTATGAAAGCGGGTACTGATAGGTATGTTCCGTTCACTCTGAACACATCTACACTGACGTAATTGACACACAATCTCTGGTACTGACATGGCTTCTTAGTGGTGACGCGGGTATGAACTTCATTCTTTACCTCTAACCCAGGTGCTAATGTGAGTGTTACAGAGGCACTGGCATTATGTGAATAATACATGGAAGGATTAACTGTTTTCTTGAAATGCAAGCTCTGACATGTTTTAAATAGCATTTCGGAAGTGCTGAACTTATGACAAGAAATGCAGGTACAAGCCATACAGGCACTCCTTTGCTTAAAGTCCTTAACCCTCTACCTCTCCTTTACTACTTTTCCCCAATCACGCCAGCACCCAGTGGTACCACAACCACATGGCTGCAGCATTCGGTCCTGACTGGAGAAACCACTCGCCAGTGGCTGGTCTACGAGCAGCCAATGAGGAGGCAACACAAAGCAAGAGGCTCCCGAGCTTGCCAGAGCACCCAGAGGAAGAGCAAGAGGAGAAAGAGCAGCAGGAGAGTGCAGGGGAGGGAGAAGGGGTTGACAAGAAGTCGGGCAAGGGAGAAATGGGAGAAGAGAAGGGGCAGCAGCAAAAACCTCAAGAGGGGATAAAGGGGGAACAGCTGGAGAAGCAGAAAGAGAAGGTCAACGCAGGCCAGAGAAATCAGCGAGCGAGCCACAGGTCGCTTTTCAACGTGCGGAATCTGAGCAGTCCTTCTGTCTTCCTTCCTGCCATTCTCGCCCTCCTGATGGCTGTGCCTCTCGGCCTTGGGAGTGGGTTGATTGGCTTCATGCATGGAGTGGTTTTGGGTCCACAGGAGGCCATCACTTCTGCACTGTATGGTGTTGCTGCTGGAGCACTGTACCCATTTCATATGCTTGGGTTGCTCAGAGACCAAAAGCATTCACATCAAGATTAGGAGCTGTGTGATGTTTCTTGCCAGAAATAACCCTGATAGGGTGCTTCCCATCAGGCACATAAACTCGACTAGTGCCTCATGCTTCTACATACAGGTAGTGCGGTCAAGTCTGGCATTCAGTCTTTTGATTGTTCTGCCCCACATTAGAATAGAATGGAGTAGGGCCCCAAAAACAGAATGTGCCAGATAATAAGTTGGTACCGTACCAGGCTTACACTTGAGGGCTATTATTTAGCAGGCTGAACAGGGAATCTGAGAGGGAGAAACCAAGACACTTGGCCATGTCCTTGACCCTGACGTCAGGCCGGGGATCCCCTCTGGCAACCAGCCATGCATGGATGATGAAGGCTTTGTTCATGGTCCATAGCTCCACTGCCTCTGGATTGAACACCAGACCCATGCGCTTGCTCATCTGGTGGAGACAGGCAAGTTGGGAGAGGAGGGAGAGTAGAAAGATGTGGTAGGAGAGTCAGGGACGAGAGCATGGGAAAGGACATGTTAGCATCCTATGGCCCAAGGACTTCAACAAGCACCAGTGCCAGAATTGGCTCTGATGGGGTGTGGCATGATTCTCACCTGATGCGGCACCAACATTGCAGCATACCGCCCCAGCTCTCCCGCTCGCCAGTCCAGCACCGCTGGCAACCACGGGTAGGCGGCATCCAGGCGGACAAACCACAGGCGGACATCTGGCAGCTCGGACAGTTCCCGAGGGTCAATGGGGTCGTCTCTTTCGTATTTAATGGTGAAGCCCAGCCGGCGAGTGAGGAGAGGCGATGGGTCGGAGAGGGGAGGGGCCGTGTTGTCGCCTATTTGTGCGACGAACGGTCGCAGGACCTGGTGTGCGACGGTGAGATCAAGGCTGCGAATCATTTCCTTGGTCACGTGAATCTCGAACCGACCCTCCGTTGGGGGTGGGGGTGGCGTGATGTTGGACTCGGGATCTGAGAGGCGATGAGGAAACGAGGAAGGTTAAGGGGAAGGTGGAAGCCACTGGGAAAGCGATAAAACCTAGACGAACGAAATGAAACAACGGGACGGATCACAGAACTTACCGTCCAATTCGTCTTGAAGGCTAAAGCTGAGATCTTTCGAAGGATCATACACGGCTGTTCGCGTATTAGGTCGAGCATGACCGCAACGACGGCCGTCATTATGAAATCGCCTGTGAGTATTGCGGGGTGATCTCAATGCCGTGCACGAAATGCCGACGCAACGGGTGCTAACGGTCACATTTCTCACTGGAACGGGGGCCTTGCGGAACTTATGGATAAATATGGAGGGAGGAGCAGCTGCAGCCATCCCTGAACGCCCCGATTGCATATCAACGGGCACATGATGATCTATCAAACTAGTGCTCTCGACGAGACACCTCGTCGCCGCCATTTTGATGCAGACTATGAAGGATCAGGCTCAAATCTAACACGAGTGCCCCAGTTCAAGTCGTCTTTGATCAGTCAGCTCCGTTCACTGATGAACTCGATTATGCACTCTGGACTGGAGGCTTATACATTCACCCTAATCGCTCTCGTCTAGTGTCTGACAGTGCATGCACGAACGGGAGGTGGCGGAGAACAGGCGCCAGGGACATGGTGTAACCCAGATCCATGTGGCAGCACATCTGTGGCTGGAGATTCTCGAGGTGCCTCAGAAAACGAACCAAGCTGAGAGAATTACTGTAGAACCTGGCTCGATGATTCATTCTTACTCGCGTGGTCTCGAATTACTCGAGTGGCGACCAAATTTGGTGATAATTACTCGAGTGGCCACGCCAGGGGATTCCCGCTGGCTTTTTTTCCCGGCGCATTACCCTACAAGGGCTCGTATCCCCGAAACCTCTGTAATGATAATTGCGCGATTTTCAGTTCACGCGATAATTTATAATGGATGTTTCAGGGATACAAACCCTTGTAGGGTCATGCGCCCGGTAAAAGAAAAACCAGCGGGAATCCCCTGGCGTGGCCACTCGAGTAATTATCACCAAATCTGGTGGCCACTCGAGTAATTCAAGGCCACGCGAGTAAGGCTGAATCACCGACCCAGGTTCTACAGTAATTATCTCAACCAAGCTGCGCTGAAACTCAGTTTGGGCCGAAAATAACTCAATTCGCAATCTCTGGTTACACATCTTCGTCGCAGGATTTCCTCGCGAAAGCACATCTTTTCCCCAGAAAAAGTGCAGAGCAGCTGACATGTCAGCGCGCGGGGTGGGCGCTGTGCTGGTTGCAGCGCGTGCAAACACCTGCACCACATATCTCTCAACCAACGCCACACGATAACCAGACCAGACCATTTTTCCTGCATTGCAGCTTTTCTCAGCATTTCATTTGTCTCATCAGCAATACATCAGCCGTGGTAGAGTAGCTATCGGTGTGACATTCTTTGTACTTCCACCTGAATCCGGTCTTACTAGTAGTTCCGGCATAGGATAGTCGACGCAATCGATGGCCAGAGGACGATTGGCCAGGAACCAGCCAATCAATTCGAGATAAGCGTTGAAATCTCGCGAAATCAGCCCGTGCGAAGCCTTTCTGATGCATGTTGGTTACAGACATCACCTTTCCGACAGCCGCTTTCACAGCGCGTTCGCCGGTCATGATGGCGAACGCAACTTCTTTCACTCACGCAAGCCTTCGACCTCCAGCAGCGCGGGTAGTGAATCGATCATGCCGCCGTAACCACGACACTGTTTCTTCAGGACCTCGACCTCGGAAGAATGCGGATTCCTTATGCTTGGGAATCCGTAACACCAATAAGCAGGTAATGTATATAACGGAATTCTCAGATTCATCTCCCTCAGTGTTAGTCACGGCCAGAAGCAGCCATTCTTCAAGCCGATCAGCTCTGGTGGCCTCCACCCGGCTCCACTACCCAACCACCCTGGCTGCTGCACCGCTCTCAACCCATCACAGTCTCAGGCTGAGTCTACAGCCGTCGGCGCGCCTCACTGACCGCATGTACCGCGAGCTACTCACATCTCGCCAGGCTTTCCTCTCCCCCCACAAAACCCTCTTCTCCTCCACACTCCTTCCCTCCCCCAGCCACCCGTCGCTGCAACCACGCCTGCTCTTTGAGTCCGCCTCCTGCGTTCCCCACAACCCACACTCATCCTCCTCCAGAGCATCCGCCTCTTTCTCTCAAAACGGCGGGTCTTCATATCCGCCTTACCAGCAACCCCCCTACCGCCACCAACAACCTTCCTTCCCACCTCCTCTCTCCTACCCGCCTCCGTTCCCCACTACAACACCTTACCCTCACACCCCCCCGTTACCGTCACATTCGTTTCAAACACAATCGGGGTTAGCGACATGCCCGCCCGGCGTGGGCGTGTTCTGGGACTACGAGAACTGCCCCGTGCCTGTCGGCGCCGACTGCGCTGCGCTCGTGCGGCGCCTGCGCGACGTGGCGCGCACGTTCGGCGTGGTGCGGAGCGTGCGCGCGTACGGGAAGCCGGAGGAGGTGCATGCGCGCATGGTGGGAAAGATGGGCGCGTGCGGCGTGGAGGTGGTGGCGGTGGCGGCGGGCAAGGAGATGGCGGACAAGGCCATCATCACCGACGCGCTGCTCTTCGCTCTCGACGAGCGCGAGGTCAACCGGTGAGGCGAGGCGGATGACGAGGGGGAGGTAGCGACGGATGAGCGGAGGAAGTGGGTAGAGATGAGTGCAGCACGGTGCAGCGCATTGAACAATCCTCTCTCCCTTTATTCACGCCTGCATCCCTCTCCTCGCCCTTCCTTCCTGCCCGTTCTCTTGCATTCGTACACCTCCCTCCCGCGCCTGCCGCCCCGCAGAGCCGTCCCGCCGTGCGTGGTGGTGGTGTCGGGCGACGTGGGGTTCGCGGGCGTGCTGGCGAAGCTCACCAACCGCGCCGTCACCACCGTGCTGCTCGCGCGCCCGCGCAAGAACGGCAGCAAGGGCAAGCGCGGCACCATCCCCGCGCCCCTGGCGCAGTCAGCGGCCGTCACTCTTGACTGGGACCAGCTCATTCTCGCGGGAGAGAGCGGTGCAGGGGGGGAGAGCGGGTGGAGGGGCGGCAGCAGAGCAGGCGATGATGGTGGTGTTGCTGATGCGGGGAATGGGGGTGTTGCTGCTGCTGTTGCACGCGGTAGCAGCATCTTTGGTAGCAGCAGCGGCGCTGGTGGTGTGAAGGGCAGTGGCAGCAGTGCAGTAGAGTCGTTTAGTGCCATCCGCAGTGGCATGGACAGCAGCGGCAGCACAAGTAGTGCTGGGGTCTCCACCTCGGACAATGGCAGCCTCAGCGGCCACGGCAACGGCAACAGCAGCGCCAATGGCAGTGCCCTTAGCAGTGGCAGCAGCAGCAGCAGCACCGGTGCTGGTGGGACGTCAGGCAGGGAGGGGACAGAGACGATAGGGAGTGGGAGGGAGGGCGAGGAGGAGGTGCAGCAGCGGCTGCGATCGCTGGAGGAGCGACTGCTGCACGTGGAGAGGGGCGCGGCGAGTGGCGGGGGGGACAGCACGACCAGCAGTAGTGGCGCGTGTGATGGGGCGGGTGAAGCAGCAGGTGACGCGGGCGAAAAAGACATGACCCCTGCAAGCAACGCCCAACCTCCACCGCCGCCGGAGCTCAAGGCAGGTGAGGCAGCGCCGTCCCATGCGGAGGCAGGGGGGGCCCCGCGGCGGGAGTCGTGGGCGGAGGTGATGGCGCGCGCCCTGTCCGTGCGCTCCCCTGCGGACGTGCTGACAGCGCGCCTGCGCGCCCACATGCTCACCACGCTGGCGGCCCACGGCGCGGTGACGACGTCATTGCTGTTCGTGGCTTACCAGCGCGTGTGGGGGCGGCAGCTGCGCCTGGCGGACTACGGGCTGCGCGACGTCAAGGCGCTCGTCGCGCTGCTGCCGCACGTCATGGCCGTGAGCGAGGGGTGGCCGGGGCAGGCAGCGCGCAAGAAGATGAGCGTTGAGGCGCGCGAGGCCATGGCACGCCGCCGGACATTCTCCCTTGTGCGCTCGCACGGCAACCTGCGCGCGCTGGCGCTGGT